TAACTACTATAATAACTATTGTGAACAGTAGATCAGCCCCAAACATTCAACTGCAGCAAATTATTATACCATAAACAGTAAATCAAATCTTTCACTATCTTTTTAAAGTTAATGTTTATTCTGTAATTTTTTACTGTATCATAAACAGTAAATCAAATCAAATGTATTAAAACTTAAATTCTCCTCTAAGTATAGAGGAGTAGATATGATCTCTAAATAAAATGTATTAAAACTTAGATCATTCTTTAAGTATAGATGCGTAGATATAATTTCTAATTTTAAGTATATAATAATCAAATTAAATATATTAAAACTTAGAGAGAGGTAAGTTCAAAATGCAATTCTTAAAAAAATAGGGGTCGTCCCTTGCACGGGGTGCACACTAGTTCATGTTAAAAGGTAAAATGTTCCTCAACCCTAGCAATTGAAAAAATGAAAGATGAAAACAAAAAATTTAATTGAGAAAATAATTCTTGATAACTCTTTATTTAATTTTTTTGGGAAAATTGTGTCAATGTCCCAAAAGTAAAAACTTCATGTGCTGCAGCCCCTTTGACTTTTTTTCCATGTATTTTAGCCCTTAAATTAGGGATATATATTTTGCAGCCATTCTTTAGCAATTATTACATGCTAACTAAGCATAAAGATATAACAAAAAATAAAAATCCCAAAATGCCCTTATCTCCTCTATTCTTTCATCAAGTCTAAAAGCAAGGTGAATTAGACTTAACATAAAAGTCTAATTTCATGTTAAGCTCAAATTAATTCATGTTATGTCTAATTTAATTCATTTTAAGTCTAATTTAAATTATGTTATGTTTAATTCAACTTGTTTCAAGTCTAATTTAATTCATGTTAAGTCTAATTCAATTTGTTTTAAGTCTACTTTCATGTTAAGTCTAATTTAATTCATGTTAAGTCTAATTTAATTTTTTTTAAGTCTAATTTAAATTATGTTATGTCTGATTCAACTTATTTTAAGCCTAATTCAATTGGACTTAACATGAAATTAGACTTTAAAAAGTTAAATTAGACTTAACATGATTTAAATTAAACTTAAAACGAATTTAACATGATTGAAATTAGACTTAAAATAAGTTGAAATAGATGAAATAGGCTTAATATGATTGCTGTTAAGTCTAATTCAACTTGTTTTTAGACTTAAAATAAGTTGAATTAGACATAACATGATATAAATTAGACTTAAAATGAATTAAATTAGACTTAACATGAACCGAATTAGACTTAACATAAACCAAAATGGACTTAACATGAATTTAATTAGGCTTAATATGAAATTAGACATAAAACAAGTTGAATTAGACTTAACGTTATTCATGTTTAAGTCTAATTCAACTTGTTTTTAGACTTGAAACAAGTTGAATTAGACATAACATTATGTAAATTAGACTTAAAAGAAATTAAATTAGACTTAACATGAACTGAATTAGATTTAACATGAAATTAGACTTAAAACAAGTTGAATTTGACTTAGCATGATTTAAATTGGACTTAACATGAACCGAATTGGACTTAACACGAACCGAATTGGACTTAACAATATTTTAATTGTACTTAACATGAACCGAATTGTATTTAACACGAACCAGATTGGAGTTAACATATAATCCATGTTAAGTCTATTTCATTTTATTTTAAGTCTAATTTCATATTAAGTCCAACTTAAATTAGACTTAAAATGATTTAAATTAGTCTTTTTAAAATTTAAATTAGATTTAAAATGATTTAAACTGGACCTAACACGAACCAAACTGGACTTAACATGAACCAAACTTGATTTAACACGAATCAAACTGGACTTAATATAAACCAAACTTGACTTAACATGAACTAAACTGGACTTAACACTAAACTAGATTAAAATTAGACTTAAAAAGAATTAAATTAGATTTAACATGAACTAAACTGGACTTAACACTAAACTAGATTAAAATTAGACTTAAAAAGAATTAAATTAGATTTAACATGAATCAAATTGAACTTAACACTAAACTAGATTAAAATTAGACTTAAAAAGAATTAAATTAGATTTAACATGAATCAAATTGGCCTTAACATAAAGTAAAATTAGACTTAACATGAAATTAGATTTAAAATAAGTTAAAATAGACTTAACATGTTTTATGTTAAGTCTGATTCAACTTATTTTTAGACTTAAAATAAGTTGAATTAGACATAACATAATTTAAATTAGACTTAAAAGGAATTAAATTAGATCTAACATGAATCAAACTAGACTTAATATGAATCAAATTGGATTTAACATAAAATTAGATTTAAAACATGTTAAATTAGACTTAACATGATTCATATTAATTACAATTCAAATTCTTTTTAGACCTAAAACAAGTTGAATTAGACTTAACATGATTTAAATTAGACTTAAAAGAAATTAAAGTAAACTTAACATGAATCAAACTAGACCTAACATGATATATCTGGAGAGAACGAATAGGGAGGAGGAAATGATGGTATTTTGGGCTTTTATGTTCGTTTTTCTCTCTTTTGTGTTTAGTTGGCATGATAATTACATGAAAAAGGATTGCAGCACATGATGTGACATTTCATAGGGCTGAATCACATGGGAAAAAAATGGAGGGACTATAGCACATGAAGATTTTACTTTTGGGATATTGACACAATTTTCCCAAAAGTTTTACGACTATACTTAAAAAGTGAGAGGTGACATTCTCAAGTGGGAGGTGTTCTGAGTAATGTTCGGTAAGCACTAAAATTGAACTATGAAATACGATATATTAATCTCTTTTATTCTAAAGCAATTTAACATTAAAGATTTTTATGTATTATTACTAATATAATATGAGTAGAATTCTTATGAGATGGGGTGATCTAGCTTTTGTAAATAGGGCATGAAATGCTAAAATTGTCCTCTTATTTGACATATTTATGACTGATAATCAACCATGTTCATATTTGAGGAAATATCCGTCATCGTATCCGTTAAGATATAGACATGATTACTCAAATCTGTGATAATATATGATTACGAATACAATTTTAATGTGAAATATCCGGATCCTTATCTGAAATATCCGAATAAATTTTGATCATAGTGCTATAATTCTTTCAATCTTTAGATTAATGAATTTGAGACAAATTTTGATGATCAAGAGTTCCCATCTTAGCTTTTCAGATGGAACAAAAATATTAATGAATCTCTTGTATTGTATGAGCTATATTTTTCCAATATTGTTTTTTATTTTCTGTTATCCGTTTTGTATCTGCATGTATATTTGCATATACATTCTCATGTATGTCTGTATTTGATTTTATCGAATATGAATATTAGTTTTCCTTACCAAGACATATTCAGTATATGTAAATGATAAGCAAATATAAATATGATAAATATCATATATAAACATTGTCTAAAGTGTTTCCACTCCTGGAATGATGGAATTTGTATCCAGTATCCCCCGTATTTACCCCTGCCGCAGCAATGCATAGAGCGCCAACTGGCATCATGAATTCTCACAAGTACCTAAAATGCCCTTATCCACATTCACTCCCCCGTGTCCCTTTCTTTCTTCAAGAACCCGTGATCCACTTTTTCCTTTTTATTACTTTTAGGGGCTTTTAGTTTTAGTACCTTACATCTTTAAAATTGCATGCATGCCCCTTGAATCCTATATTCCTATAGGATCTTGCGGAATGGTCCCTCCGGTAGTTTTTCGGCTTAAAAGCCTAACTAAGATTGAGCTAATTACTATTCCGCATCCGCAATCCCGAGTTAACTACTAATCCAATATCTGCAATCACCAAACTGAAACTCTCCCTAATATTTCAAACAAACAGTGAAGCACAACCTTAGATTAAGATTCTTTCCTAACCATTGGAAAAGAAGAACTCAAGTGGATTTGAATTTATTTTTAACGAGGTATTGGATTTAAATCCATTAAGAAATGAGCTTGGGAACATAATAGAGGGGTAAAATGGATAATTTATCTCCAACTGTTGGATTTAATATAAGATTTGAGAGGCTAACATGCAACTAACAAAGAGACATAAGGTACCGATTGGCAAATGGTTAAGTGAGGGGTTAGGGAGACTTAACACATTCTTAGGGCATCTCCAACAGTTTCTCCAAAATAGGGAAACAAAAGTCATATTCTCCAATTTTTTTTTACACCAACTCCAACAGCTTTCCCATTTTGAAGAATCTCTTTTTTTCTCTAAAAATTTGGAGAATGCTGCAGATTTGGGGAAGCTTCCCCATTTTTTCTCCTCCATCCCTATTTTGGGGAATGAGATGAGGAATCTGTTGGACCAAAAACCTAACTAAATTCTCCAAAAGTGGGAAATAGTGAAGCTGTTGGAGATGCTCTTAACCCGCCAAACACAAAAAATCTATACAAGAGTTAAAGTGAGTTAACCCTCAATAATTTGCCAAACATAAAAAATATAGAAGGGTTAAGCTAACCCCTCTAGAGGGATTAAAATGAGTTGCCAAACATAAAAAATATAGAAGGGTTAAGCTAACCCCTCTAGAGGGATTAAAATGAGTTAACCCCTTAAAATGAGGGGTTTACTAATACTCCTACCCCTCTAGAGGGATTAAAATGAGTTAACCCCTTAAAATGAGGGGTTTACTAATACTCCTATTTAGAATGATTAAGAGTTAACCTTTCTAGTTATAAAGAAAATAGTCAAAAACATTGTTATTCCCAAACACTAAAACTAATCACACATGTTAAAATAAAACTTATTTAACGGTTTAATAATTTAGTCCTTCAGATTATCGAATGTGCTAAGTACATTAATCCTTCTTTTTAACCTCTTTTTCTTAATCATTTGCCAAAAAGGGCCATAAGGGACTAAGAACTAAAAACCACCAACTATTATTACTGTTACCATAAATAATCTTATCAAAAGAAACAACATGTTATTCAAACATAATAATAATATTATTATTAGCAGCTATTTCGTCGGTGTCTGGTGGGGGAGTCCGAGCTCGCTCCCCCGCCCTGCTCTCGTTTTCTCTCATCGCCAAATTATCTTTTTTTAATACTAAAAAAAATAATAGTTTAATTAGCTTTATTTATTCAATTAAAGCGGTCGCCATTAATAAAGAGCTTCTCTCTTCTCTTCTCTTCTCTCTCTCTCTCTCTCTCTCTCTCTCTCTCTCTTATCTTCTGGTGTTCTGAGCTTCTTCTGCTGTTCTTTTGATTTTAATTTAATTTAATTTATTTAATTATTCGTGTAAATACAAATATCATTTATTTCTCCGCAATCATTTCTTCTTTCCTTAAAAATTCCTTTTTTCCTCTTCTTCGCCGAGAGAGAGGAGAGAGAGAGAGAGAGAGAGAGAGAGAGAGAGAGAGAGAGAGGCCCTAGGTTGATTGTGATCTTGTTGCCATGAGATCGGAGGGTCGGCTGCTGGATTCAGCGGTTTTCCAGCTGACGCCCACCAGAACGAGGTACGAAAGCTAGGGTTTTTGGTTTCTAATTCCGTAGACTGGGAGGGTTTGCTGGAGTCTTGATCTAGGGTTTCGAGAATAATGAGCTGCTACTTGTTCACTGACTATCCTCGATTACTTAATAGTTGCGGAGCCTGTTTGAAGAATTGAATTATTTATCATGGATTTTTTTTATTAGCTTAGAAATTCGTCGTTTTTTATCCATACGACTTTTATGCCTTTATTGGGATTGCTGATTTGCTTCAATCTCACTCTACCTCGATAGTTTGAAATTTTAGATCTTCACTGGGATTCGTCTAATTTTTTCTTTTTTGTAAATGGGCAAATTTCATCTTTGTTACAAAATTTACTCCCCTCCCGCTTCCATGAAATAATGACTCCACTCAATTGATGGAGATTCAGTTAGTCGTAATAGTTGAATCATTTTTTGTCACAATTCGTTTTACTGTATCTACAATGCTTGTGGTAAGTTGCTATCTTGACACCAGTGATGGCTGCAAAATGGGCTTGGATTAATGTTGTGATTTGGCCATTATTTGTTCAGATGTGAGCTGGTGATCACAGCAAATGGGAAGTCGGAGAAGCTTGCATCTGGGTTATTGAACCCTTTTCTTGCGCATCTGAAGACTGCCCAAGATCAGATTGCAAAGGGAGGGTATTCTATTAGGCTTGAACCGGACCCCGCAAGCGATGCCTTCTGGTTCACCAAGGGTACACTTGAAAGGTCATTATACTTTCATACTGTTTTGCAAGTCTTTTTCCACATTAATTATGTTCTGGTGTTTGATATTCACATCATTTTTATTTAGGTTTGTCCGCTTTGTGAGCACACCAGAAGTTCTGGAACGGGTTTATACCATAGAGTCTGAGATCTTGCAGATTGAGGATGCAATTACCATTCAGGGCAATGAAAATCTTGGTTTGAGCACAGTGAGTGCTTTGCACTTTTTAATTCTGGTTTATTTACAACTTTGGTGTTTTGATTTGTTTGTTGCCACTTGTCAGTTGGAAGATCCTCAATTAAAATCCGCTGGGTTCAATGAAGGTATGTGAGTCATAAACATATTTTTTAAGTTTAGCTTATAGCCTTATAGTTTTGGCTGCCAACCTCAGTTTGTGTTCATGAATTGTACAATTGGAGGATTTCAGCTGGATGCTCGATGCCATATAAAATAAAAGATGTCTTTACTAGGCCTCTTCGCTTGGCCTAGATTAGTTAATTTGTTATGTTTCTCTCACGGCTATTTTTAAGTTGCTTGGGTCCTGTCAGTGATGTAGCGAATAACAAACAAGTTAAAACTTTATTCTAGTCAAATAGACGACATTAGCGTATCAGAAACTATTGTTACGGTCCATCTGCATGGAACTTTGTCAAGGCATTTCAGCCGATATTCGTTTCTCTTCTTTCTTGTTGCATCTCCTAAAAAGGATATCAGATTATCTCAAAAAATAAAAAAAGATCTGGTGAAGATATGTACATCCATACGCCTCAAGTGTTTAGTTGATTTTTAATTTTCGTGTCATTGTATTTAGAGGTGCTATTTTATTGAAATGATTGTGGATCTGGTAGGTAGCAAGGCCGTGTTTGATGCTGATGCAGAGAAGGCTATAGTTCTGTATAAGGTATATACACTTTGTTATCATTTCTAGTCAAATGATGATATTTATGGAGATTGCTTGAATTTTATTTCTCTTGACCCATTGCAGCCTGGGTCACAATCAAATCCTCCTGATTCAAATGGCTTTGCTGCACAGGAAGAAAATTCAAAGTATGTTCCTGTGGTATTCATACCTTTTCCATGTTAGCGCTTGTTTCATATTTAAGAGTAGATCTTTTATATTTTCTACCTCATTAGTATTGAGCCCACGTGTTGCTACGGGTATTATTTATCGAGTTATATCTATTGCCTAGTTGATAAAATGGTTTTTATAAATAACTATTTATAAAAACTTCAACGATAATTTCTTTTACTATTTACAGAGTAAATTTTCAAACTAGCTAACAAAAGAATAGGCCAATTAGCAAGTTTTATCAATTTTCTATAATAGAACTAGAAACGATTTATATTTGTGAAATGTCTGATAAAGATTAAATTCATATTTGCAATTTTTTTTAAAAGCAGTGTTTTCAAGGTTAAAAAATGTTACTACAGCTTGAGCAGTGGGTAGTGGTGGAAATGAACCAAATAATTAACAAATAGTTTGATAATTGTTCGAGTAACTATTCGGTCGTATTCGATTCAGTAGTTCATTTATCACTAAACAAATATTTTTTAGTATTCGAGTTTACTAACAAATAGAATTTAACTAGATGTATATTCGATTCGTTTGTCTATCAAATATTTGTTTAAAATTTGATCACTTATTATTTGTATTATTGCACATATAATGTCATATTTTTAACCCACTTACCATTTCTACTTGAGTTTTATGTACTAATTTTAAGACTTAAATAATCTTAAATCTATTTGCTAATGAAAATTTTGAATTAAATATATATATACATCATATATTATGAATGAATAATTTTTATTTATGAATTTAAATACTAGTTGAAAATCAAATTCTTTAGCAGAATAAATATACCTGATATCGATAAGTATTCGTGAACATTTGTGAATATTTATCAAATACCAAGTATTCACGTTCAAATTCGAAAAACTACATTTATGAATATTAGAGTCCGCATTCGAATTCAATAATTTTAAGTAAATACAAATACAAACATCTTAGTATTTGATTCGATTCAATCGTTTACCACCTCTAACAGTGGATAGAGGGCCAGTAATTCACTGTATCATATAGAGCATTTTTTCAGATGTAAAACCTCACTGTAGCATGAACAGTGTTTATATGGAAAATCATTGAAAGCGAATAGTATGGCCAAGGTGAAAAATATTACTGTGCTATGAATAGTGATTTTAATATTATGAAGCATACCATAGTAAAATTGGTGTTTACTGTAGCATGAATTGTACTTTTGAGGCTTTGCTTTTAAGTTAGAAGTAGTAGACATACTTGGTTGAAGTAGAATTTGACATATAGCAGTTAGGAGCATGAGCAATAAGACGAAATCTATGTTTCATTTGATGGTAACAATTGCGATGTGCTTGGCTTACTAAACTAACTGTACTGGATTAAGTAGAATTTGTGAGATGGATGTACTGAATCTCTGCTTCCAATTTGTTGGCCGAAATGCAGACAAAGTTAAAGCATTCAAAATGCTTATGTTGCCTACACAAACGCAACACACAGAGATACACACTGAATTCTATAGATATTTCCTACAACATTACTACATCCTAGTTTTGATATGCTGCGTAACCACAACATGCTCTGGGTGTTTCTTCATCAACAATTATTAATGATAATTTACTTCTACACAGAGTTCAACTTTTGAGAGTGCTTGAGACCCGCAAGTTTGTGTTGCAAAAAGAGCAGGGTATGGCATTTGCACGTGCTACTGCAGCTGGCTTTGACATGGATCACATGGAATATTTAATAATGTTTGCTGAAAGTTTTGGTGCTTCACGCTTGAAGTAAGTTGCATGTCTTTGATAGTAAGCTGTTTATAGATTCTAGAGAAGTTGCTTTACTTTTAGTTTGCAATGTCGCATGGTTGCTATTTGGAAAAAGACACAGAAGCATATAATTACTGTATATGAGAGCATTTTCAATGAAAATAGAGAACAATCTATTATATAATAATGACTACCGACCCTGTGACAAATATAGATAACTAATATAACTCAGGGCTGCTCATGATGAATCTTTTTGGACGATGCCTTTCTCCTTAATTTTAGTCCTACCTCGACAGGGAAGCATGCTTAAGGTTTATGGAATTATGGAAGGTAAAACATGAAACTGGACAATGGATTGAAGTTGAAGCTGAAGCAATGTCTACGCGCTCTGGGTTTCCTCCATTCAATGCGTCAGGAATTGTATTCACTGAGGATACAAGGAATGATGGTGACTTGGGCATGGAGAGTATTGGAAATGGTGCAACAACAGATCCTGGCAGCGGTAAGCAATTCTGATGTAATAATTATTGAAAAGTTGGCATTTAAGTGTATCAGGGAATTTGGCTTCATTATATTGATATGCAGTCTGCTTTTTTAGTCTGATGTAAATTTAAGTGTATCAGGTAATTTGGTTTCATTATATTGATATGCAGACTGTTTTTTTAGTCTGATGTAAATTTCCCTCTCATTTTCTGTTTATGACAAGACAAAGTTCATTTAATTTGATGAACTAGGGCCTTTAAACATTTATCCTTTTCTATAGCAACTTTCAGGCTGATTGTATATGGTAAAGTAGAACTTCTAACTCCAGTACTATAAAAGACCTGAATCTTACCATCTGAACTGCCGTAACTTTCTCTGTTACTACTATTATCAGGAGTATTACTACTTTGAATGCGATTAAACATTATTGTTAGTATTAATAATTTGAAACTAAAATTCTGCATGGAATTCTCTCTACATTGTCTCTTGGAAGCATTGCCCCTTAAGATTTCTAGTAGAGATCCAAAAGACCATGCTGTATGTGAATTGCTTTGGATAGTTGCCACTGTGTACAAAAATCTACTCGTCATCATCATTTTTGCAGTACTTTGGACACTAGAAATGATTGATTCTATTTTTTGCTTACAATCACCAGATAAAAGGCTCCCTTTGGATTCTCAGATGCCACAAGGACAGCATGAGCATTTTCAAGGTCATTTTCAGCAGCCTGCATTTCCGCCATGGGCTATGCATCCTCCACCAGGCCCGCCTGTATATCAAACATATCCCATGCATGGCATGCCTTATTATCCTAATTATCCAGGAAGTGGCCCATTTTATCAGTCAGCATATCCTTCCTCAGAGGATCCTAGAATCAATACTCATAAAAGAATAGGAAGGAGAAGGCATTCAATGAATAGCAAGGATAATGATGTAGATTCAGAAAGCTGGGAAGAAGATGTTGATCAAAGTTTGTCAGAGCCTGAGAAAGAAGCATCTCATGGGCATAAATCACATAAAAGGAGTGGTCGCTCAGGGAAGAAGAAACCAGGTGTGGTGGTCATTAAGAACATAAATTATGTCAAATCAAAGAAACATGAAAAATCGGGTGATGAGTCGCCATCAACTTCTGATGCTGACACTGAAGATGAAACTGAGAATTCTGATGCTGTGGAAAGAAAGCATGAGAAATCTTCCAGGTCATCAAAGAAGAATGACGGTCGCAAGAGATCTTCAGGATCAACATACGACAGGGATGATATGGTGTATGACAAAGACGCAGATTCGGGAAACTGGCAAGCATTTCAGAGTTTCTTATTGAGAGCTGAAGAAAAGATGGAAACTACTGTTGATGGAGACATGTTTGCTGGTGAGAAAGAACCTACAACGAAAAGAAGGCAGAATTTAAGTGAAGCTGAGCCTATCCTCACTTCTGAACGAGATTCTGATAACATTCATGAGGCAAAGATCCTGGAATTTGACACAGTAAATGGGAAGGGGAGTAGAAGAAGAATGGTGGCTTCGAACGACGAATTGATAACTTCAGGCGAAGGAAGGAGTTTGAGAGAAGGCCGTCTAGATGCTCAATTCATAGAAATGGAAGGTGGAGGTGGAGGATACCGGAGGGGGAGTAGTGATGATTTCATGATCTATGGACAAGGAAATCAAATAAAGAGTACAAATTCTTCTGACCCACTTGCTGAAGAAGGATATGTACTTCCTAGCAATCTGAAGAGCTCATATATTGCAGCGGACGAGTCCTTCATTGTTCCGGTTAGGTCAAGTTCACCTGGTCAACTTGAAACAGAGATTAGACCTGCCATTGATATGGATTTGGAGTTCCCCACATCTCTTCAAAGAAAAGAGGATTCCTCCAATAACAGAGATTGCCAGATTAGATATGAACCAGATGATCTCACCATGATGCCTGAGCGTGTAACTGGAAGTGAATATATTGGTTATGATCCAGTAGATTATGATATGGAGATACCTGTCCAAGTTGCTGTCAAACAAGAAACGGGAGACGAAGAAGATGTCTCAGCAAGCACCAAAGAAGACTTGAAGAATTCTGAGAAGAAGAAGTTAAAGCCACAGGATGCGATGGAGAAAAGAAGGAAGGATGCACTGATGAGAAGGGGAATATCCTCAAAGTCGAGTCCCTTGACTGAAGCACAAAAACGTGCAGAGAAACTGCGAGCTTATAAGGTTGATCTTCAGAAGGCAAAGAAAGAAAATGTAAGTCTCTCACCTTTTGATTATGCTGTTTTCTAGGCCATTTCTTAGGGAGTTGTCAGTTCAAAGTAGTTAGGAAGTAACAACTCTTCACGACAAGGAAAAATGTTGGCTTGTTTGAACAGCCTAAGTGGTAAACCTTCATATGGAAACTGAATAACCCCATAAGAGTAGGTTATATTATTCTGGTAGATGTCCTTCCTCATTTTATTTGCTAATTGCTTCAGTGGTTTCTCAAGGCAAGTAACTTGATAAGTTTGTTCTGCATTTTCTCCGTCTTCCAAAGATATGGTTCAAGTTGTGCAAACCAAAAGACCAAAAGACAATAGAGAATCTAAAGTCTCATGCTAGAATTTTTGCATATTACTATGCGTAGTGTAATAATCTGCACCTTTGATAGTTCATTAGTTCCTGAGTTATTTAAAATAAACTGTAATTAAATCATTCCAATTCGTACTTTATCCCTTCAAAATGTTCTGTTGCTAGAAGGAGCAAGTTGATGATGGCAACTAAAGAATGATTGCTTAAATATCTCATGTTCATAAAATCCTAACACTGGAAATATTGATTAAAACTAATTAACACTTAAATTGTAAAGTTGTGAACTTGTGAGTATGCAATACTAATTAGAACTAATTAGTTGTGAACTTGTGAGTTTGTCATTTTGGATGTTTAAAGGAAATTTAGCATGTGAATATGTATTAGCGACAAACCTGATTTATCTAACTTGGTCTGACCATGTGTTCCTCACTATCAGGAAGAAGAAGAGAGGAAGCGGTTGGAAGCTTTGAAAATAGAAAGACAGAAAAGAATAGCTGCAAGAAGCAGCTCAAATGCCACACAGTCACCATTAGTAAAGGATACTAAAGTTGGATTGCCAAAGAAGGCTTCTCCTAGCTCTTTCAAAGGATCAAAGTTCAGTGAAGTCGAGTCAGGGTCAAGTTCACCTCTCCAGAAGTTAAATACCAGGAGAAGTTCAACTGGGTCCAGTAATTCTCAAAAAACTACTGGAGCTAGTAGATCAATTGGCAGCAGCAATGGATTGGCTAAGTCAGTATCATCGTTGTCGGAGGCAAAGAAGGCAAGCAATGGTATCATGCCCGAAGCAAAGGCAACTGCTTCTCGTACTAAAAGACTTTCTGATCCTAGCGTGGGAAATACCCCACATGCTTCACAGAAGTCGGTAGCCACTGATCAATTGTGGAAACAAAACATTGCAAATGGGCCTCAAGTGAAGATCTCTTCAATAGTGCAGCTGGACAAAACCAATTTTGATACAGTCCAAAATAAGTCGGTCACAAAGGAGACGGTACAGCGAGATTCTGGCAACACTCTTCAAGCATCTGGAAGTTTCCAAGAAAAACAGACCAAAAAGAATCTCCCAAGGGTTAGCATCGGTGATGACAATCCAGTGATCGAGAAGAATGTTGTGATGCTCGAAAATGAAATGATCACTGCACCTGCCCTTCGGTCATCTGAAGGACTGACAGGAACAACTGATGGTGCAAAAGAGAAAGCAGGGACTAAGTCAGAATATGCAGCTGTTCGTGCTCAACCTTCACCCATTATTATGGGGGAAGTTGAGGATCCAGGTCAGCATAAGCGGGATGACCAGCCAGATAGCTACGAGGTATATTTTAGAAGCATTTGGCTCTGTAAAGTGAAGTCTTCATTTTGTCATATAATTGGGTATGTATTCATTTGGCTGTTTGGCTTTTGTCATGCGTTAGAGAAGGAAACACTTTTTCGTATAGCAATACTTCTCATGTTCCTCCATCTAGACTCTCGTCTTAGTCAAAGAAGTTAATCGCTGGTCATAACCAATAAGGTAAGCATTGCCGCCAGTTAGACCTGCTAGGTTTGTGGGAAGTCCCTCCTTTGCCAAGTTATCTTTATATGTTTCTCCTATATAGAATTGTGTTTTCTAGCCGACAATAGTTTGTGGAAATAGGTTTTAGATGATTATTTGTCATTGCTATAGGTGACTATGGTTCTTTTGTTTATAGTATCTAATAGTAAGTCCATACTCGAATCTGTTAGTTGTTCGTGTCCAAACAATTAAGTAGCAGGCATCTACCTCGTTTTTGTGGTTGTTTTTGTATGCTCTACCTAATAGAACCAATGCTCCTCCTTGTTGTTCGCCACACATGTTATGAAAGCATTATACATATATGTTTATTGTTTGTGCTTTGATCTTAACACGTTTCCATGAAATCTGCTGGATTACTATCATGTTACATGACCAACTGGACCCACTGGTTCATTAAAAGAAGCTAGCATATTCTGTTTACTGACATGGATACCTTCTAACACTTTATTCCTTGTTAGTTGTCTCCTATATTTTATAGCATTCAAGGAAAATTACTTAGTCTTTACGTAGTTGCCTATGTATTACTGAAAGTAGTCCAGTGTTCACATTATGACTAGATGGATGATACTATGATACTGATACATGTTAACAGTGAATATGTCTTGGTGAACAACCCTCATATATTGTGCTTAGTGAATCCTCTCATCCTGTACTAGTACTCTTCCTTGTGGTGGATTTCAGTGTTTACCTGACAAGTTTGATCAAATGCACATTTCAGTGGAAGAACTGATTTAATTGCAAGTCTGAAAGGAGTTCCTGGCAACCATGAAACTAATGTTATACTCCATCTGATACCTAGGGATAATAGTTTGGGTGTGTTATTACATTCTGTTTCTTATTACTAAGAATTAACTGACTGGAGCGCAGATTCAACTCCTACGCTTTCTTCCCATCCCTAGTTCACTGTGTACCATTGTGCCATTATTCAGTGCACTATTACATGGGTTTCCTTTTCTTATACATGTTAGTATCCCCCAAGGTTGTCTTAGTATCATAAAGAAGACTTGTCCTCCTGAGCCCAAATTGTCCTCTAAATTCAGAATTTACCTATCAAAAGCATTTCTTAGTATCATAAAGAAGACTTGTCCTCCAGAGCCCAAATTGCCCTCTAAATTCAGAATTACCTATCAAAAGCATTTGTGGAACAGAGATGAGATTCCTGTACGGACGAGTTCCATACTGGCTGAGGTTGATTTAGAAGTATGTTCTGGAAGGTCAACTGTATCTAATGCAAGAAACCACACCACATTTGACGTGAGTGATTGGATTTTGATTTTATATTGTTTCACAGTTAGTAAATTGTCTTTCTTTAAATTTCCGTTGATCTATCAAGTCTCAAGTGATTAGCTTAAATAAGTTTTCAGGTTAACATTAGTAGGTTCTGACTCAACTAGTGTGTATATATACTTGGTTGGAGTTTTGAACTCTGGATGCTAGAGATGTAAACGAGTGCGTTACTCTTGAATACAAAGCTGACCTGGGTAGAAGCACAGGGCAAGTTCACCCCTAAATTCTACATTGAACATTGTTGTAAACTGCTACCTATAATTTTGCATGGATGCACATTTGCAATATTTTTGGTCTGAGATTATGTAGATTCATACAAGCATGAGTGGCTTAAGCTGGACCTGGGTTAAAATAAGAATAATGGTGAAGTAGGATCATAGAACTTCATCTAAGTGGCAAGGTGAAACAGGTCAGTTTGTCAATTTGTAACCTATGTTCTGTGTTCGCATGTCTGCAAATTGGCATTATTGAGTTGAAGTGGTGAAAAGCTTGAAACGAAAAGGTGATTTAGTAGTTATCCTCGATGACTAAGGTTGAGCCTTACTTGTAGGATTTGAGATATATAGTAGTACCAGTGTGCTGTGGAGTGACAGTAGACTTCTATGAACCATTTACATTTTATCGCTTCATTTTTAAATAATTATTTCTATTTTATATCTATCATCTTGCAACTTTTAGGAAAAGAAAGATAAGATAATTTCTGGTATAAACTATAGAAACACTGGAGTTACAACATTATATAGGTTTCCTTTTTTCCTTCTTTCTATGGTGGCTTGATGTCTCAATTTGGAGGAACAATGTTTTTTCTTTCAACAAACAGGTGGTTGATGATTCTAAGAATGATGAACCCCAGCATTTCTCTAAGTCTGTCACTGAGAACTACTATCAAGCTCCATATGCGAGAGCAACTTCTTTGGAGGATCCTGATGCCAGTGATATCAAATACAGTGAAGCACCAAGCGTACAATCAGAAATAACTTCAACTTACCCAGAAACTGTTAAGGCACTTGTATCTGATTTTTCAGACTCAAACTTGACAGAACAAACCAATGAATTGGTTGAGAAACCTCGGAGCAAAGAATCTAAAGGTTTCAGAAAGCTATTGAAATTTGGGAGAAAGAGTCACAACTGATGGATCATCTGCTAATGATCAGACTCTCTTCTAATGATGGTAAGATCTTGAAGCACCTTTTGAGCCAGATGACACTTTCTAGACCCAGCAAAGCTTTGGCGTACTCTTTTCTTTCAATCCTTAAGCACTACATTTCTAGAATCAGTATCACAGCAGTTTTAAAAAATAGAACAGGCAAAAACTGAGGCCAACTCTTATAAGTTTTTTGAAGATGATTATAATCTGTAGCACACTTCTCAATATAATTTAGTGAGGCCATCTAGAAATATTAGAACAGATTATATACTTCTTCTGTAACCTCATCTCTGGTGAATACCTACCTTTGATAATGCGTAACTTGATCAAATTCTCTACTTCAAGCTTGAACCAGGACTTAATCTTGACTATGAATTATCACAAGTGAATTGAGAATGTATAAAACTTTTCTTCCTTTCTCTTGTCACTCATGTTTTTGAGTTTTTTAGGGTTATTTGTGAACATGCCCCTTTGTAGTATCATCCTATTGTAAATAGACCCTATGTAGTTCTATATGTTGCGAATGAACCCCCTGTAGTTCTATTTGTTGCGAATAGACCCCCTAATGAATTTTTTAACTCTTAAAATCGTTAAAAATGTTTGAGGTGGATAGACACCTGGTTAGGACACCCAAATACTTCTTTTAATAACTTTTAAGAGAGTCGAAAAAGTTCATTGAGGGGTTGTATTCGCACTTGGACCAATACTACAAGGGGTCTATTCGCGACAAATAGAATTACAGGGGGTCTATTCGCAACAAAAAGAACTACAAGGTGGTTTGCAATTAACCCCCTCTTTTAGTAGAAAACTTTATATGATTGACCTCTATTGGGAAGCTCTTGATGCTGAGAGCGACTTCACAAATTTTCATTGTGTTGTAAAAAAAGAAGAAAAGGACAAAAAAAACAGTATTTGGTTTTATCATGGAGTCCATGCTCATGTTCAGTGACTGTTTCTCCTTTGTTATTCCTTAACTAACAAATACCATCTTATATTGTGTATATCGGCCTTGTGGCAAAAACATTCTGAATAGCTAAAAAGTTTCCACATTTAGACTCACTTTTTTTGGGCAAGTGAGTAACAAACAATATTACCAAAGCATTAAGTTTGAGATCTCAAATGCTCTCACCTTCTATACACGTATCTACGTAAAAATTGGAGAAGTCCTTTCATGAGAACAACACTTTCTATTCTCGACATTATTTTTCATTTTCTGTATTTCTCAAAAGTTCTCTTGTTCTTAGCCCTCCAGATGTAGTAGTTTATCCTCACTTTTTTTTTGTTTAGATTTATGCTTAGGTTTTTGTTTTCAAAATTTACTGAATTTATGACAGGACCATGCTATTGAAACTGATGGGGCAACATTTTGCTGTTTTTAATTATTTTTAGAGCACTCTCTTGTCAACACCAAAAGATTCACAATATTCATTATGACTACTTATTTCTCACGCATTTTCTTTTTCATCCTTGTCATTTAACCAAATTCCTGTGGATATGATATATGGTCGCTTCTGGCTAAACAGTTTTCGGTTCTTGTCACAGTTCATTGTCTGTTCTCCATTCTTTCACCCTTCAGAAACAGCAATAGCAAAGACAAGAAGCTGGCAGCATGAGGACTGAGGCTACTGTAAAATTTTTTATTAATGTCAGGGAGTCAGTTTCTGAGTTTTGAAATGAGAAAGAAGCTGAGGGGATCTGATTTGTTTTTATTTTTATTTTATTTTATTTATAAATCATTGTGTTGTAAAACATATCTGTAAAATTTGTATGTCTGTCCAAAATCATTTATTGTTGTTGATATAATGAGTTGTTTCCATCTTTGTTATTAAATGCAGTGTATATTTTTGGTATCCCAAACTTTTTGAGTATATGCGTATCAAAAGTGGTTGTATACATTTTCAATCTCTTCAGTATCCATGCTTGGGCTACAATCTGCACGTCATATTGATTGCATTTGTAATAGGTCTCGTCCTTCTGCAACATATTTTCTGCAGCATTGGGCTCCTTATTTCTTTTTATTATTATTAAAGAAGGTTGGAATAAGGATAGCAGAGGTAATGTTATAGCGATTAGGTATGTTTGTGGCTTTATTTTTTTTGCGCTGACACTGTATGTTCAGTTATCCCAAGGAAGTAACAGTTATTTTGTTATAAACAGGCAATATCAATAATCTTGATGTGAAATAAAATCAACGGGGCCGGACTAAATGACCTGTTTCTTTTCAAATTATCTTCTCAGTTTTTTTTTTTAAATGGAGTATTTGCAGCTTCTGGTAAAGGAGAATGTTCAATTGTATTCTATTTTCCTTTTTGGTGTTTGTATCGACTTTGGTTGAAGATGAAATGCAATTAGGATTCGATTAGAAACATGCTGTGCCCTTCTTTTCTTGTTTCTTGTAGCTCTCACCGTCGTCGTCGTTTTTATTTTGTTTTATTTTATTCTTCTTCTTTAGTTATGCAAATTGCTTGTTTAGCAAAATGAGTTGTCAACTTGTATTCATAACTTGAAGCTCTTCCTATCAATCTCACAATAATACATTTGGATTCAATAGATTATGCTTTCTCGTCTTTTTAACCATGTGTAGTACGTCCATGTACCATAATTCCTTTTTTGACTTCTCTTAAAAAATACATGTAAACCAACACCATTGTGCTAAATATTTTTCAATCTGGTCTAACAAAATCACTTAAAACTATGATTGGGAAGTCAGATTATCTCCTCAAAAACCAGCAGAAATTATCAGTTAGTGCTTGTCATTGGGAATTTATTCGCCATCGTCATGCTGAAACCAAGGTTTAGAGAACTCGCCTTCAGTCGTTTCAGTTTTTGAAACTTCAGGGAATGCTAGCTACCAATTAGGATCACATTTATTCTTTTGATGATTATATGTATGTGTTCGTGCGAATGCGTATCTCTACGTACACGAACATACATGTGCCTGTGCGAATGCATGTCCATATTCATGTGCATACACGTATACCGTAATACATCTGGATAGCTGCATCATTCCCATATATATATATATCCATGAGCTCATATCATTCATTTGCGTGCACGTGTAAGCGCACACTTTGTGTTTAAATATGGGTTGCAAATTGAACTATAACTTGTACTATATGCTACAAAAGTTTTTCTCTGAATTATGAAATATTTTAGTATGTTTAGCCGAAACATCTTGAGACACAACAAATTAAAACTAGACTTGCTACAGGCTGCCATGGAACAGATGCAAGCTGATGAAGGTGATAAATGTCACAAATGACACAGGCCAAAACATCATCCTCGTTATCAAGCTGTGACATAAAGTTCACTCCTCAAAGATGCATGACCTTATATCACAAACAAACAAACACTATCAAAAAAAAAAAAAAAAAAAAAAAAAAAAAAAAAAAAAACAATGAAGTATAATGTTCAATAAATCAATCACCAGAGTCTAGATATAGCTTGTGCGTTTTGGAGAAAACAGCTAAATACATACCAATACAATTAACGAATTATATCCAACTAACCAACAAATTTTATACGTGTCCTGTCTAGGTGAAATGGGAATTGCCTGATGATGAGCATCATTCAAGATGTACCTCAACCTTCTTCCCACATTAATCCAAATATTAACTCGATTTATATCTTCGCTTTCATCGACTCTGGCCGGTATCATTAAGAACATAAAAGTTTACCATGAAAACTAAGTAAAACAGTAAGCGTAGAACCTCAACCTCCAAACTTGACAGGGGTTTTTATGGTTGTCTGATGTTAAGATGGACGGAGCTTCTTATGGTCATAAAGTTGAGTTAAATATAGACCGAAGTGTCCCTCGACAGTCTTCATTGATGTGCCGTTCACGTGACATGCATGCATGCCACTGTAATCCAAATAATCAATCTACTCAGATTATACTTATAGTTAATGATTTGGATGTGTACCACGCTAGCAACAACATCATCAAGAATGTAGGGAGACACACCAGTCACCGTTTACTAAAAAATTTCACTTTCTACTTTCTATATCAGAGAACACAACAGAGCATACTAAAGAAGCAAGTATTCTCGAGGACTAGACAATATAATGGATGGAAAGGCTAGAATAGGATGCATATTCATGACTTGTCTACGCACCAATATTGTGTACCTTGACATGCTACATCCATATCCAACTGACAACCATGAAAGAACTACTACAATGGAGTACTTACACACTCCAGTTAGCCAACACTACAAACTATTCTTGTGAAGCCAGTACCAGGTATATAAGCAGTGACTTGAAACTCAGAGGTCAATTGTACGCTGGAAATTTCATGTAGACAATGGAAAAGTTGACAAATAAGACGCCCATAATGTCACTCTATAGAATTTTACATGAGATTGTCACCCCATATGGCTCTTCTAACTCTTTCAAGGTAGTTGAACCCTTTTATTTTGATTGAGAATCTCTTACATTCCTCCACCCTAACCCCAAGATTAACTAAGACCAATCAATTCAAGATTTCCTGTTGAACACTTTCCATTTTTGTCAAAGGAGAAGAGTTTCTCTTTTTACCAAATATATGAAGGTCAAATTAAGATCTTACAATCTAATAAGAGCAACAGATGTTCCCAATGAATCCTTTACCCTTCATTCTTCAAAAATCATAAAGATGTTTTTCTCAGGTTTGAAGTTCATTTGGAATCAGGCTCTTCTATTTTCTACTTATTACTTTGTTTATTCTTTATTCCATTTCGATTTCCTTTACTTCTTTTTTATTTTTATTCCCTTCCACAATTTCCACTATTCCTTAAAGCCCATAGGTTTGTTGATGAACAATATAACAGATGATTCAACATTTGATATTCTTTTATTGCCGTTCACTCAAAATTTTCATTTCATAGTTTGTACATCTCAAAGAACACAACATCGCATACTAAAGAAGTAAGTATTCTATGATACAAAGGATGGGTAAGGCTTGAATCTATTGATGTGTCTCAGACTGTCAGATTATCTCCTCAAAAACCAGCAGAAATTATCAGTTAGTGCTTGTCATTGGGAATTTATTCGCCATCGTCATGCTGAAACCAAGGTTTAGAGAACTCGCCTTCAGTCGTTTCAGTTTTTGAAACTTCAGGGAATGCTAGCTACCAATTAGGATCACATTTATTCTTTTGATGATTATATGTATGTGTTCGTGCGAATGCGTATCTCTACGTACACGAACATACATGTGCCTGTGCGAATGCATGTCCATATTCATGTGCATACACGTATACCGTAATACATCTGGATAGCTGCATCATTCCCATATATATATATATCCATGAGCTCATATCATTCATTTGCGTGCACGTGTAAGCGCACACTTTGTGTTTAAATATGGGTTGCAAATTGAACTATAACTTGTACTATATGCTACAAAAGTTTTTCTCTGAATTATGAAATATTTTAGTATGTTTAGCCGAAACATCTTGAGACACAACAAATTAAAACTAGACTTGCTACAGGCTGCCATGGAACAGATGCAAGCTGATGAAGGTGATAAATGTCACAAATGACACAGGCCAAAACATCATCCTCGTTATCAAGCTGTGACATAAAGTTCACTCCTCAAAGATGCATGACCTTATATCACAAACAAACAAACACTATCAAAAAAAAAAAAAA